TTTGCTTTTCATAAATGATGGATGTGTTCAAATTAGGCATTGTTTGATGCTCTTTCCCTGCTGCCCTTGTTATGATAGCGCGTTTTTTTACGTGATTTTTTATTGTTTAGGGTTATTTATTATCTGCGGTTTTGGTTATCATTTAAGTGGTATCTGTTTTTTTTTTTACTGGTATTATGTTATCTCTAACGGTATTTTTTGTTTTGTTGCTTTCCCTTAGAACTGCCGCGCACTTATCCTGGTGACCGTCACTCTGTTCGGCCGGTAACCGCGCCATAAATATATCAGTAATATATGTATATGTATATGTATATTTATATATATATATATATATATATATATATATATATATATATATATATATATATATATCTTATGTCATCACCGTCGTCGTCATCAATAGCATTATTTCTGAACATTAGCTTTATTGTTAACCCTGTTTGCTTGTGAGTGAGTATATGTACAAGGCCAGACCGGAGCTGTGTTGAGTCCCGTTATTCTGACAAAAAGTCGCTGCCTTTTTTGCTAGCTAGTATTTTCTCATTCTGAAAACAGAACGAAACAAGTGCTTAACGGCTGTACACGGATGGCACGTTTGGCCATCAGCGTGTCACCAAACGGCCTACCGCAACGTTTCCATTCGAATCGACGCTATACAGCATTTTCGGTAACGGCTGCGGTTGGCACCACCATAACTGGCGTGATACGTGTAATATTTTGCTTCGTGTCAACTAGACATCCTCCATAATCGCTTGTTTTCGCTCTGTATTTCTTTTGCTCTTTTACGGGCCCAGCATTACAAACTCCATCATACATCCGACTGCGTCAAGCTTTCTTTTAATTATACAATATAATATAGTTCATTCTCAATCGACTTGTATATGTATTTCGTCTTCTCAGGGCTTTCCTGAATACAGTTGTTCCAGGACACGGAAGGCAAAGATTGGCGAAAGTAGAGTGGAAACGCGTCTTTCGTACAACATCGCTCTACTTGGTGAGCTTCAATATGCTGGCCTATGTATAAGCACACGCTATAACATTTCGAGCCAGTCATCTGCGTCGTCAAATAGGTAAGCGTTTGCTGATATAATCGATGTTGTCGATCGCTCACAGTCGCCTGCCATCGCGAAAATGCAGCGTCGATAGCTACTCAATGATAGAAGTCTCATCGTCTTGAACATCTTTGCCATTTGTCCGCCAGTTGTGCGTCAGCTCGTGCGCGAGACCGTTGACGCTTCCAATCAATTTTTATATAACTGCCCCAGCCAGTCTCTGACCGTGCGGGATTGATAGCGGGGGCCGTCAGCCACGCCCTATTCGAAACATAAGCAGCCAAAAAAAAACGATTCGTACGTTACATCACCCGTTTCGTGAAGCTTTTGGGTACCCGATTTGGTTGTTTATAGGCTCGTGGGTACACAGTGTTGACACGGTAAGCTCCGATGATCTGACAGCGTTATGGGCTGACCCTTGAAATCGCATATCTGTGCTAGTTTACGTTGTACAGTGAAGGGTCTCTGGGAAACAAACGAAAAATACAAATAACGCTTACAAAGCGTCACGTAGCTAACGGTAGTTCACTTATATGTTTTTAATTGCGCGGCGTAATGTACGCACGTCCGCCTTTCTCCACGAAGTCGAGCATGGGTATGTTACGAGAACAAGAAACGAAGACGGTTCCTGCTCTTCGGTGGGAAGAACGTTGCCAAAGGCGCAGTACTAATTATAGTGGCGCACGGTTCACGGACAATACCAACTGGCGGAATGTTGGCGACTTTAAAAGCTTCTCCGCTACAGATGTCTAAAAACATTGTTTTCAACCAACATCACTTAGATCAATCAGTTAATATGACTCATATCGATCGAAATGCCGGTCGAGCCATTCGTCAGAGCAACTTTATAAAAAACAAACTATAACCACGATCATTGTGGCAACATAAAACAACAAAGCTCCGAGCTGGAACAATACCGTCGTCATCAAGAACTACAACTCATTTGGAATATGTTTTATTCTATTTTCTATCTCTTTCGCTCTAGGTGTGATTTATTATAAAGACTAGTCGGTTTGATAGCGTTAGGGTAACGTACCCTCTTGATTAGTACTTGCTGTTCACAATCAATTGCTATTTCTGTTGTTGTTACTGTTGGATTTTTTTTGTTTTGTCTTTAATAGTCAGCTGGAATCGTAGATAGTTGCCCTGTCAGCGAGTGCACAACCTTATTTGTTAGTGTTTCATCATGCTAGGTAGTTCATCCTAGTTTTTTCTTTCGCTCTTTCTGTCTACTTCTGCTATATTATATAGGATATTTATACTTCGTATATTACCATCGTGCATAATAATAATAATAATAATGATCATCATCGCCGCTTCTGATAGTAGTACTTCACAATTTATATCAGTATTAGGCGGTGTCTGACCGTCGTCATTTGAACGTAACTAACACGTACTTCTGTCATACTTGGTATTTTAATCATTAAATAATAGTAGTTCCAGCAGTAATATATAGTGAATATTCTCTTCTGCAATAGGATGGATGTAGATTTAATATTGTCTGAGATTTTCCTTTCTCAACATTATACTGTTCCCTTCCGCAATCTGTTCAATTGCGTTCTAAACAATGCGTGCGCCTCAACTCCATCTGTGTGTGTGTGTGTGTAATAAATAGTTTAGTTTCTATTTTTTAGATCTGTGCGTGTGTATATGTGTGCCTGTGTGTGTGTCTGTCTGTCTGTCTGTGCATGTGTATATAATATTTCATCGAAATCCCTGTTTTCTCCTTAACCTGAACCCTAACGCACGGGAAATGGCTGTGTATATGTGGTGTGTACACGGGCGACATACACCTTGCTTCACCTATTTCTTGGCCCTGTAGCCTTTTTTCTTCTAGCCCCTTTCTACACTTGATGCTTTTAGGCTTCACTCTTCATTAGCAGAATCACCAACGCCACCGTCGTGATCATCATTATTCAGTGCTCTTCATTAAGGATGAGCGTTGGTCACAGTTCAACGCAACTGGGACGTCGTTTAATTGAAACGACTAAACAGTACGACATAACGTAGAAATCATGTACATAAATACAACGCTACCATTCATACCTCAGTAGCGACCACCCAGTCTTTTCATAGATATATTATTATGGTAGGGGTGTATATGTTATGATGTACAATTTTCCCGCATCAGCCTTTGCCGGCGCTAGTTTTTCTGGCTCTGTTTGATTTGGCCCCAAACTGAAAATCTGCAATGGACCATATATAGAATGAGTTGTCGCCTAAGAAAATGCTTCCCTAAACCAGACAACAACTGTTAGCAGTAATTTGTTCATTCTCATCATACAATGATACCTAGGGTAGGGCTCTGCTGGTTCAACGAACGAAGTAGCGTATCTCATATGTGTTAAGCAACCGAGATACGTGTCGAATCATGCAAAAATCAACCCATCGGTATACGGTGTTTCTACCTGTTGAGGCAAGGTTGCTTTGCATTGCTATCACCTTGTTCCAAGTACGGTCAACGGCCCTTCTACGAGCCAATTAAGGTGTCAAAGATAAATCTGCGATCCAAAAATGATATCCGTTCATCCGTGGTTAGCTCAATTACTTCATTCGGCTGGTTCCTGTAAGGTTAAATACAACAGTTAATTGCAGCTCGTGCAAATGAATCCGAACAGGGTAGTTTTACGTTATTTCTCAGAACGATAGCCATACTGAAATAACAAATCGTTCTTGGCCAGCTGACTAAAAAAGTCTAGGAATTTTTTTCTTCTCCGTTATTATCACATGAGACGCTGGGCGTTTATATGGCGAAGTACATGTCAATAGTAAGTGCCCTAAGTTAAATATGTTACCTCAAATTCGTCAAGGTATTGTACCTTCTTTTAATGGTAGTTTGATGACAATAATAAAAACCATTTCTACGAAGCGAACGGCAGCTATTTGCCACATCGCAGCTCTGTTTATAAAGAGCTGACAATGAGATGCACTTTTTTTCATTTGTGAAAGGCTTTTTCTCGCTTTCGAACAACCTCTGCCATTTTTCCTGAAGCTTCACTTCTAGTGCCTATATAATGCAGCGTCTAGTATATATATATATATATATCAGGGCCATTTATCATGGTGTTCCATTGGTTCACGTTTTATACTATTGTGTATTTCTTCCTGTTTAGTTCAGCAGGTCTAAAGGGAACTTCAACTTTATATAAAGATTCGTTTTCAATTTGCTTTGCTTGTTTTTGAACGTCATCTACCAGCGAAATCGGAATATCTATCGATTCTCAAATTGATGTCCGTCACCGGATTTATCTATATCTTGTCTGCCTGTTTTGTCAATTGTAAATGCCCAGAGGGTTTGTGTGATGACATATACATGATGTCCGGGTGGCTTATCGTCAGTTCAAATCAGTGGAGCTAAACGGACTCACAACTCCAGTCCGTTTGCTCTTTCCGTATGCGTGGAAGATTCTTTTTCTCCTCTTATCTCTGTCAGGGCTAGAAAAAGGCCGATTATGCCTTTTTCCAGTTCTTGCTTACTATTGTCATCATACGCTGCGTTGCAGTCTTGTCTCTATAGTTTTACCTGCTGGATTTAATAATAATAATAGTATCGTAGGGGTCGATATATCTCTTTTCTAAGAAACTATACTCAACTATAGTATATATTTGATGTTATATGTATAATTGTATATATGTATATATATCGAATATTTAGTGTTGTTGTCATATATATATACATATATATATATATATATATATATATATATATATACTTCTTGTTTTTGTGGTTGTTGCTGTTATTTGTTCAGCTTCGGTATAATCTTTCTTCTGCAATTTTCGTCAGCGTATATTTTAATAGCTCATGAGTTGAGCCAGGCGTGGGCCAGACGGGAGTAAAACTCTCATCGATCATTAGAGTGTCATCAGCTCGAGATGTTGTTTACAAAACGATCGCTGTACGCTATGAAGCTGAATTTAGTACTAGTCAGCTTAGCGCCAGCTAGGCTTATTGCGGTAATGAAACATCGTCAATTGAATCCGGGGCACAATTGTAACACGAAGGTTTTTAATAAATGTACAGTCCCCCTGAGTAGCCGTCGTCACTTGTGGTAAAGCAGTGTTTAACGCTCGATTATTGACACGGGCGAATATAGACCAGGCTGCAGCTGATGTTGTTGTCTAGGACAGTTCATATGATAAGCAGCACGGGACCTCTGTGTGTACATCGTTATATCAGTTTCTATAGGAAAAAAGTGACCATGTAGGCAAAGACGGGAAGCGCATCCCTCCACCATTTGATTCATGCAACGTTACGTCAGGCGAGGGCCTTCCTGTGAGACGGAAAACTGATGAAAGACATCAGCCAGGCGCCGACCTTAGTTGACTTCTTCTTGCTCTGTTTGTTCCGCTTTGTTGCTGCCTATCAGCTTAACAGAATGACCTTGAGTTTAGCGTGAGACACTGGGTTTATCTGCCATGGTTCAATAATGCACTTAGCCCTGGCACGTTTTACGTCGACTCGGAACCGTACTCGTGGCTGGCCCACCCGCCCGTCTACCTACGATCAACAACTAAGTTCTATGCTGTAGCAGATTTATAGCGCCAGCTGCTCTGTCGCCGCGTTTCGGCGATCCTTCAAATCTTCTTGCGTCTTTTTACGGCACTTGACTTGTTTGTTGCTCCTGGTCATCTATTTCTTCATTTTCCGCTGTTGCAGTATAGCTTTATCATGTATTTTATAGTATATGTATATATCTTGTCGTGGTAATATCGTGCTTTCATTACAAGTTTCCTCATCTCTCTTCATTGTAGGTATTCATAATATATATCTGTATATATATATATATATATATATATATAATGGTAATAATAGATTTTCGTCATCATACTCAATATAATCGTCATTATAATTACAATATAATGACCAGTTTTTAATTTATAGTAATAATTAATCCTCATTATTATAATTGTTCCGTAGTTATTATCATTATAGTGTAATGACTCTGTAACATGTTTGTATCCAATGAAGGCCGGTCGTCGTCTCTCAGGTCCATTTTAGGCTGGGGGTGTACAAATACTGCAAACAGAAACATAATAGATAAACAGATCACATTAACAAAACAAACACCACACATACACAAATAACAATAACAGCTATTGAACGGAGGCGACAAGAAAGACATGATCAGTTAAGAATGGCCGACGTGATAGATGTTGGCTGTATACCGAAGGAAGGGTGAGTGCGGCCGGACATTAGGCCGGACGACAAAAAAGTCAAAGGAAGGAAACCCGATGAGAATAGCAAAGCAGTAGCGACAGCTGAAGAGAACAGGATGGACGGTGATGCGGTGACAACGAATCGCTGAGTCATCTGTCGATCTGTCATCCTCTAAGATGATGTCTATCGCTGGCCCGCCTTCCACCAACCCTCCCTTAAATCCTACAGGGTTACTCTAAGGCTGCCTGTTTTACCGACCACTCAGAACATAGGAACATCCGGCCGATCCAGTTCCTTGCACTACGATGGCGACCATTTTTCTCACCGTGTTGTGTGTCTTCTACATAACTCTACTAAACTTGGCAGGCCTCGTACGTCGTAACGTACGTCAACACAGTTTCTCACCCTACAATCGACCCTATTTCCACTCGCGTACATTGATGTCATTGCCTTTCCAACAACCCTCAGCGAGAGTTCCGAGAACGCGCTATCCAGGAGCCAACAGGATGGCGAGAAATGTCAGCGGCCTAAAGGGGGCAATAAACAGAGAAGGAGAGAAAATGTAGGGGCACGAAAAAGCAAAATGAGGGAGATGAAGATTTCTTATGAGGGAGAGATACGACAAAAGAAGAGACCGGAAAATCGGTGGAATGAGAACGACAAAAGAATGGCGCTAGACGCGATAAATGAACGAGCGTGAGTGATAAAAGAGAGATGATGGAGCAGAGTAAGCTGCGAAGGCGGCGACAGATGAGGTAATGCAGTAGCGGTATTAAGCCTTAGTACGTCCGCAGAAACGCGTCCCACTAGGAGGCAGCACTAGGTGTTATTCGTTCGTTGCTTTCTCTGCTTTAACCCCGCTTCAGCCGGCCCCCCCTTTTTTCTTTCACTAGCACTCTTTTTTCGACTCACCTTATTGACACCGCAAGACATGACGTGTTTTGAAATAGAAACAATGCAAATAATGGAAGTACAGTTGGCTAGCAATACGTTTAACAGGTATCCACTGTTTATACTTGGAGGGTAAGATCGCTTTGAGTCTCTTCATTTCTCGTTTGGCATATCTTAATACCCCAGCTGCCTCTGCACCTCAGTTGCTATATTTGTCTTCGATGTATACGGATACTTTGTTTTTCATTTATCTATCTGGTGTTTTGCTTTAATCAGATACGAGGAATTTTTGTTTTATTATAGCTTATACCCATCTAGGGTCCTGTTGATTGACTAACTAATATCTGCTTTTAGATTTTAGCCGTCGCAAATTTTCATTTCCAATCTTGGAGCCCCTCCTATGCATCTACAACAGTTTTCCGTCCCTTTAGTAAGGCTCCTCTCTGCTTGGTCCATTCAGGTAATCAATGTCCTTTTTCTCTGATGGACCCCCATACTAATACCGCGAACCACGTTGTCATATCCTTTTTTGTCCTGTCTACGGTGAAAAAAGAAACTATTTCGCCTCAGCGCTTCCTTCCCATGTTCCAATCGAATAGTAGTAGTCATCATACTAGCAGCAATAATGTATAATACAATAGAAGTTCAATTCATGCCCAGACACGCCTTTTACTTGGCATAATGAAATATACTCACTTAGCAGGTCCCACGCAATCGCAGGGTTTGTTGTTAAGTAATCAATGTTGGTTGATGTGTTGTCCGGCTAATGGCCATGCGTCTTCCCGGACTTTGTCCTTCACCCACTCTCATACTTGATTTCGTTTCTCGTTCTTCACGTTTTTTTTTGCTCTTCAGCGATATCTTCTTCATTTTCAGTTTTATCATCTTCACCTTCATCGTGCGTGCTTTTTTTCGATCCACCTCAACCACGTATGTGACACGTCAGTGCTCTGTTGAAAATGTAAAGCATTCATACGTTTCCGGTTTGCCACTCCTGCTGGCGCAAGCCTCCTGTTGTGGCCCTCAACCAAGGGACCACCTCAAAAAAGGCCACTGGGTGCGTTCCTCACATTAGTTATATTATCCCTTTCTCGTTCTGTTTTTCGCCCTTTCATTTCCAGTTTTCTTGACAACACTGTGTTTCACATTATTAACCCCCTCCCCTTGGCCCGTTAGACTCTTTACGTATAAACATTATGTGATGTTTTTCCAATTCGTTCAACTATACCACTTTTTCTCAAAGCCCACATCCGAATCATGTTACTAGTAGCGACTGATCTCCATTTGTGTTCAAGCCTATCCGTTCTGGACGGGTCGCCGACGGAACGTTCGTGGTACGGCTGGAACACCGGGTTTTCCCCAGCAGAATTCGTGTTGTCAGACTCTTGCATTGCATACGAGTATCAGCAAGTCGGACATACTTTTCTCGAGTTTGTTCCATCGGACAGTCAACGGGCGGACACGGTTGACAGCAACGAAGCGCGAGCGACACAATGTTAAGTGTAATTATCATGCGTCAGCTGTTACAATAGGTAGTAATAGGGGATACCTACTTAAATTTTTGAAGATTCATTATTTTCACGACATAACAGGCATATGTAATACTTCACGAAGACACAATCAATGAATGGATGCTTTAGAGTGTGAAGGCCTTTAGGATTGTACCGCTGTGAAGAGTGTTCGCCCTTTTGTTTCCTTCGGCCAGCAATCAGGTTTGTTTGAGTGTTGCTGTGCCTGCTCTGTTCCTAGGCCCGCTCAGTAACCTGATCTCAGTAGGGCCTAGAGGCGTCTTTTGGTCTCTTCAGTTGTACTTTGAGTCGCTTCATACCAATTTGGAAACCATTCATTGCCTGAATGGCGGCCTGCGCAGAGGACGGATTGTCAAATGAGACGAATCCGAAACACTTGCTTTGGTTAGTAGCCCTGCAACACATGTCAACAGGCAAATAGACACATAAGGTTAGCCACAACACTATCTGGATAACTTTGTATAACGTTGGCCTAGCGGGAGTTTATGCACGGAAAGAAACCTAGCCTTCATTTTCGAAATATTATCACACATATTTCTAAGAAAATTTGTTATTTGCTAGAGTAGAATCCTAACGGCGCTATAAAAGCACATGAAGTCGATATTTCAGCTCCAACGTGTCTTGTCTATGTATTTGGCTTCTCGGCCTCGAGTTTTTCCCATATGAGGTGAGGTAATAATTAAACCGCCAAGTTCTGTAAATAGGGCTACAAGCATAAAGACCCTGTGAAAAATTATCATGCTTTCTGGCGACAGGAAAAAGCTTGATACAGAATATAGCATCAATTGCACCTATTCGATAATGTTGAAATATACTAGTTAGTTTGACACGACAAGTCGAGAAATGTGGACGCCTTTGTCTTTGACCAATTAAAATGTCCGATTGTCATTTCCTATGATCATCCATTTCATGTTGAAACGTAGAAAATTTATCTTATTATCGAAAACGTACTTATTATTGTAATTAGCCGTCTGTACGCGTTCGGTCGCTACCTCCGTTTAACCAAAGGAGCTACCAGCCAAAATGGAGGCAAACGTAGCCCCGCCTGCGTATACTAGTCAGTTGTAGATGCCGATCGGGTTTCGATGGCACTTGAATAATTCACATAATTTAGAGGATGATGACACTGGAGTCTGGACTCGTATTCATTTTCTGCTGAGAATATATATATATATATATATATAAACTGGCGATCTAAGCAGGTAAGAAAGTCATTGGGAAATGAAGAAATTTTAGTATATTTCATCATGCGCAGCATACGTCAATGTGCTTGTGCCGCGCCTAACGGAAGTTCCCAATTTAAGTTCACAGTTTAGAACTGGCGAGTTTCTGTGTCATTCACAATTTTTGTAAAAACCGGCTAACTTACACGCATAGTCATACTGCGAATCATTCGGAAACGTTTTCCCCGTCACGGCTATTGTACTTACATTTGTGATATCAAATACGGATGCCCTTTTCCGGAAACGTAAGTTGCTGCAAGAGTGTCGCCAATGATGTCGCCCATCATCGGCTCATTCGATCCCATTGGGAGCATCGGCTTCCAGGAAGCATATGAGACATGAACATAGCTGATAAAGGGTTCATATGCGAAGACCCAAATAGCTTGGGGGTAGTGTCCAACCGAACAATCAAAATCACGTACTACGAAACTTAAGAATAGCGATCGGTCTGCTGGTGTACAGTACATAGAGAGTGACTGTTAATTTCGTAGACTTTTGTCCCGATTACGTATAGTCAATTTTTTCGATCATTCCAAATCAATACGACGGGGCAGCGTTTAGCTAATGCTTTTTGTCTGTCGCAACGAACAGGGTTATACGATCGACCGGTCTGCCTTTCTGTCCGTCCTTTAGCTGCTACTACTACCGCGAGAGTTTTCACTGTCGTGACCCTCGGAAGGGAGCTGTAAGCCGATGATAAAGGACGCTGTATATTGCAGGATTGTCTAATCTGTCATTGTCTTCCAGCGCTTTTATCCGTTTGCAACAGCCCAAAAGGAGAACCGATGTTTTGATCAAAGGTTCACAGTGTATTAAGGATATAATCTTCTTCGAGAAGCCAGCAGTATGAAATTCTATTTTTGATTTAAGCCATTCATTGCATATATTTCTCTCATATTATTACGCATGTTTGAAATCAGTGTTAGTCCTCGTTCCTTGTGGAACAGCAGAATGAGCTCAGTGTTGCTATCTGATGATGATTAGGTTCCAAGTAGCTATTACCACATGGTATACATGAACTGCAATGGTATACCCGTCGGTATAAAAGTACTCCAACGCTAGATTGATGTTTACGCGACAACAAACCATTTAAATACATTAAGAGGTAGATTTTAACTTCCACCATCTAGCTTATTGCCTATATCATACGGTCGGCAATCATGCCTACAACCAATGGCGTAGAAAAAAATATACACACGTTAGCTGTTAATCTCAGCTGAATTAAGCCTAGTAGAATAGGCCTAATACTTCCTCTATTCGTCGATCTTCATATCAAACCCAATGTAAGGCTCAGTTGTTTCACATGTGTTCATCCGAGATTTTTTCCCCAAATTATCAATTCAACTTCTCAGCGGCTAGGCGTACCCGCTTAGATTAGTACAACATATTACCCCTATTGTGAGATCGCCTTTAGGCGAAGTCACTTCCGGTGAGGTTAAACCAGGTGCCAATGATACTAGTGTATTCTGTTTTGCAATACCGATTACCGGTACCAACCTGTCAATGAAAACCTTTGCGGAGATAACGTTTCCAAAAGGCATGAACATATGCGTGAGTTCGCCGTCGCCAAACTCTTGCGGTAAATGGTAGATGAATAAGTTACAGCCCTCGGGACCTTCTCGCTGCGATTGAATCACTGCGGCTCCGCCACTACCCCCGGTGCCTCCGCCTGCCGTGACACCTGTAACTCCTCCTGGTGAACTAATAAATGCGCTCAGAGCGCTCGCTTGTGGCACTCCAGTTAATTGTGAAAGTGTTGGTGCTGCTGGGTATGGATAACCAATTGACGGGACAACTGAAATCAATAAAAAAAAAAAGTGCCATTTAGCCGAGATATACGGTTTTTTCTTTTTTTGTGGAAAAGTAAACGATATTTGATTGCCGATGTTGTACATTCGATATGATTGGGTCGGCATACTTAGGGTAATACACTATTACTATTAGATTATTTCTGTTATTGGAAGAAACAGTAGTGTTTTCTGTAATTTGTCTATTTCTGACGTTCAGTGCCGTGATGAATTATAATTATTATAACAGGTTTAGATGATTTCTCGCTAGTGGCCTAGGACAGTCGGACTACAGATTTGCCGCTCCATTAGGAATTGGAGCCGAGAAGACTTTTGCTCATTTGAACTGCGGTAACCTTTTTAGTCTTTTTAACTATCTATAATAACAGCAACTATTTCGGTTGTATTTTTATTATTTTCTAATATTTAGCGTAGATCCATTTAATCAACAAAAACGCTATTTATTTTTCTTAGAAAAACATCATTGCTAAAATTAGTTCCGGGTTATTTAATCAATTGTTTTGTTGAAAAGAAGATCGAATTGGTGTATCTAATGGAGTTTATTCTCGCCTTTTAAAAATAGGAACTTGTCGACCACACAGAAAATTACTTCTTTAGTGTATGAGTTCTATGGCCACAGTCGATCCCGACAATGCCCCTTTGAAACAAGCTCTGCGTTCAACCTTTGTCGACACATCTCTACAGTCCATAGTTCTTGGCTATAATGCAATGAAAGATGGCTTGCGGTGAAGGTTATTAAGCGCTTATCACCTTCATTGTGGTCAGGAAATAGTGACATAAAATCCACTCGAGAGTCCATAAGGAACTCGTTCACGAGACGGTGAGGTACCACAAGCCTACGAGGTAATGAAGAAATGACCCACTGAATATGATCATGTGGTTATCTATTATGGAGTTATGGGTGACTAATAAAAAAAGTGACTCAAAATAGCATTTACCCGTTCATCTCATAAAAGTCAAAGGGGAAGTTCGATGATTACGAGTCAAAATTACGAGAACTCGCTAACCCACACAAGATATTCACAAAAGAATACTCAGTATACTAACAAAGGTCACTTATCTAATTCGTAAGACTGAAGCTAAGTTAGCCCTGTGCTAGTTACTCAGGCTTTATCAAACACCGGCGGCTTTAGCGTTCAAATTTCGCTGTGAAACACAGTATTCACAGCAAGGGCCATGTAACAAATTCATTTAACCTTAATATCATTTTATGATAGAAAATGCACGCAATGTCTCCGAGCCTAATTGATTTTGAAAATTACCGCCAATTCGATCACGAAGGATACGGTAAAAATAAGATTAGAACAATTACGTCATCTTGTGCACTAGGCTGTACCTATCCTGTCTTACGCTAACATTTGACTCGTTCCTAATCTTTTTATTCACAAGCTAAAGCGAGACCTCAAGCTTCCGGCAGGAGATATCTGCTATTATATCTTCCACCGATCCTGATATTTAACGTACACTTTACTTAGGACCAGCTTTCTCCTTGATGTGCTTTCGTCGTTTTTTTTGAAGTCTGTTAATGCCTGCTGGTTCTCGGAAGAACAAGGCCATGAATAAATTTTTTGAAAATCTGTATCTTCATCTATACAGAAAGCTGTATGATGGCGCCACGAATACAAAGGCGTGGCGACTTCGTAGTAAGTAAAGCGACACGAAGAAGGGCAATGCGTGCAAGACGCCGGCCCATGGTGTGGCAGCTTGTCTCATTCCACAAAGCCTCGTACCCTAATATCACGTAAAGCACGGGCACGTTCACGCAGGCATATCCAACTCTTCATACTATTTTTTACAGGCAAGAAGCAAGCTGGGAAAAATATAATATTTGTTTTTTATTATCCTGATTCAGCTATTATCTATTCATATACTGCTATTTACAATCGTGTTAGAGGCTTAACAGGATTACCTTCGAGCTTCAGAATGCTTAGATCGATTCAGCCACTTCTAGTTTGCTATGATCATACATTGGTAACTTAACATCAACGTCAACTAATTGTCTTCAGTTATTTAGCTCAGTACAGGCCAAGTGGGTGCGCCGAGAAGATGATGATTTACTTAACATACCTTGAATATGTAGCGTGTTTGGAAATGTTGCCAATGTCTCAAGCAGAGTTTGAGATTTGTATTGCCTACTGGCTAAGATGTACGTAGCAAAATGCGGCGCATTTAAGGCTGGATATAATGATACGATTTGGTGATTAAATTAATTTTTATTCCAGACGCCCTTTATTCCTCCTCAATATTAAGTTAGAGATCTCTGATCAGCTATTAGTGACTCGCTTACAAAGAAATTGCTTGTGTAAATATCTCGATATATAGTTAAGGCACTGTGAGTTGGTCTGGGTTTTAGGCGGTCTCAGTTAATTTACTCTGCCAACAGCTTTAGACGGATCGATGTATACACGGCCAACGGCCAACGGCCAAAATGCTTAGGGTCTACATGTATGCTCCGATTTTCAGTTAGCGGCTTAGTTTCTAACCTTTTCAGTAAAGCCCCTCTGATGCTTGCTCTGCAACCTTTAAGAAGCTCAAAATACGATCAGTTGTCAGAGAAGAAGATGAGCTACACGATTAAACTGGTCTACAGTTGTTCACTTTAAATCCGATTTATCGCTCGAAATGGCTTTAGTACCGTGTCGCGTTCTTTGGATCGACAATACACAAGGTACAGAAACTTAAATTGTCACAAGTAGAGATCTAATTGTGCCCGGGCCTATGGGAAGTTCTGTAATTTCTCTATCGGAGCTCATAATCTGTAGTTCTGTTATGATCTGTAAGAGCGTAAGGCTGCTAAAAGCCAAATCAGGACAACTCTCTTAATCAACAGTTCCGCCAAAAAAGGTCCCGAAAAGCACTAGCCGTTGTGTGGCCATCCGTTTTGATGGTACGATGGTTATTTATCGCCGGTGGTCCTCTTCTTTGCTACCTATTTGAATATCTACAAAACATCTCTGAGGCTTTAAGACCAAAAATTGTAAATGGTTTTTACTATGCGTGGCTTTGATTCGTTTTAAGGACTTGAATAATCTGCTCTGATCGCCTCTAAGTCCTTCATACACTTCCCTAGTTTATCGTTACCTGCATTGGGATAAATTAGCCAATGAACACAACTGTTTGATCTGTAAGAATATAATGAATACTGTCCGCAAAATCATAATCTCAGAAAATCGTTTGTCCCTGATCGTCTCTTAAGCAAAAATAAGAGAACGGTGTAATAATTATTCTTCAGTTCCAGTATAGAAAATAACTAACTATATACCTTGACCATCATCTTGAGGCGCAATAATAATCCTTCCTGCATTTTAAAGTTGAAGGCAAAGACATCGCTAGCCACTGGTCACCTTGGCGCTTATTGGTTTCTATGTATGCTTATGGGTTTCTATGTAGCTAATGACTCAAATGGAACGGTCTATCGCAAACTGTGCCTAGTTCTCTCAAGGCTGTTTGATGCTTATTTGGACTGATCCCCACAGCAAGTCGCCAAAAATTTTATTCTTTCAATCAGTTTAGAGAGCTTAGGATTCTACTCAAACTATGTATTTACAACTAGCGCAATTTTGCTAGACGAAGGCCTTTCAATCTGCTAGGCTGAGTTTACCTTCAAGTATGTCTCACTTCAAATAGGAGGTTTAGTAGTATTTTTCTGAATCGTCGTATGCCTAGGGAGAGCAGACTCCCGCTTCTCTGGAAAAGACCGAGAGATCTTTTACGTCAGTATTATATAGTATCGAATCGAAGAGTAACTAAGTTAGCTCTGAGCTCAGGCTCATCGTGCTCGTTGACTGGCTACAGCTGTTTCTAGTGAAAGGTAAAGGACGAAGGTATAAATGTAAGAGGACCAATTTCATCAGCCTCTTGATTCCAATGAGACATTGCTTTTCGCTGGATTGGTGGATATGTTCGTGCATATATGCCGCAGCCCAACTGTCATTGGCTCTCCATTTTTCTATCAGTGGTAAATTATGCAAAAATTCTGCCAGAAACATATGAATCCGAAATATCATTCCACGCTGAATGTACACGTTCTAGGACGACTTCACTGAGACCGAATATATTCCAAGCTTTACGGGCACCATAGTAAACTTCTAACCGAAACAGCGTACTTTGTTTCGACTCCGGGTGTCTCACACGTAGTAATAGAAAACTGCGAGCATAACAGATGCTTGCTTGCGGCGTCTTTTCGACAGCACAAACAAAACATACATATATGTCGCTTGAACGAAACCAGGGGCCGCTGTTTCAAGTACTATAAATGAGGCACACTATACAACCTATGTGTATTTCTGCTGCCAGAATTTTTCGAATGGCCTATTGAAGCTATGAGCATCTACCGAAAAGCTACAGCATTTCACAAGTATCACGCGTAAGGACATCGTTAATCCTACGATATTTGTCAACTGTCGGATGAAGCTTCTGCGCCCCAACTACTCTATTTATTCTGCCGTAAATGTTCGTTGCTGCAGTACGTGGCTGTGACGGTAATCCGACCATTGTAAGTGCAATGATACATAGTAGGCATCCTACACGCATCTCTAGCTAAAGTAGGACCAGCTGAAGCATCGTCCTAAAGTGAATGTGCGCCTTCAAAGTGGTGTCATGAACATATTTTACCTACATGATAGAGTTGTCAAAAAGATACGAGGTATGTTGTGCATTGCTCTAATGGTTGTGTGTAAAATTTTGCGGGTCTGTTCGCAATATCCCTGTGCAAAATACAGGCGTTTTAAGGAGATCTTGGATATCTGTTTTAGTTCGTACTTAACTAAGTTAGCGAAAAAAGTGAATATACCTTATCAAGATATTATAGACACACCGAACCCCATTTAGCGTAAGAACAATGACCGTAATCGACTTCCGTCTACAGTAATGCGTCGAATACTTTATAGAGTATTGCTTAATGGACTTGAAGGGTCGGACACGAGAAAATATCGTGAGCTTTTTCAACAGACGGTGGACGCTTCAAAAAGAAGAAACTTCTAGGGTA